AAAAAAAAAAAAACCCCAAAAAAAAAAAAAAAAAAAAAAAAAAGCATCATTTGCTGAGTAACAACCGGCAGGGAGAAACTGTAGCCAGCCCTTTCCTTCTTTCTCTTGACGTCTAGAGAAGGAGCATGTCCAGCTCTTTTTTTTTTTTTTTCCTTTCTTTCTTTCTTTTTTTTTGGAGAGGTTTTTGCTATAGGGCGCATGTGCTCACCAGACAGACAGAGAGAGACATTAGAGACAGAAAGCGAGAAATCACCCCCCAGGGGGGATGGCCACGCCGCAATCCCTTCTCCTCCAGTCTCCTCTCGGGATCTTGGGCACGCACGCACACGCGCCCGGCGTGAGTTTTAAGCCACCGGGTCCAGGACACGAACCGCGGTCGACTATGTGGGAGTCCAGTGACATAGCCATTACGCTAACTGCTGGTCCTGAGCATGTCCAGTTCTAAGATTCAACAGTTGGAAACCCACATCCATGTGGATATAAGCCACATTCTCTAAAGCAGAATTTATTCTTAATAGAGATGAAGATCGCTAGGTACAGTTGCACAGTGAAGCACTGCACAACTTTGTGAGTCTACACTGTCGTCCTGGAAGCCTCATGGTGATTTTGATCGCCCCTGTGCCCTAACCATTTGCCTTGTTTCACATTTGGATCAGAAGTCAGGGAGGGTACTAGTTATGGGACTCTTTCAGCAAACTTCAGCAGCTGTTTCTCTGATATATGAAATAAGGGAGATAAATGAGTAATCATTATTGCTCCCTTCTATAACCTAAAATTCTCTGAAATTTTGGTAACCAGAAACTATGACCCCCAAATAGCAATGTCACCAGTCAGGTAAAAATGAATTAAAATAACTAGTTTGGTCTTGAATGGTGGAGATATTTTGTAATGGGACCCTTCTGTGACCAGGCAAATGGAGCAGTCTAGAAGAGCTGCCGATACAGACACCACTTAGCACAAGCGTGTCGTTAGCACCTGACATGCAGCCAGCCCCAGCAGTGGGTGTAAAACATGCACAGACTTCAAGGGCGGGAAGGAGAAGGGGCTTCTTGAGGAGAAGCTCTACGTTTGCACAATCAGCTCAATTACTTTGGGGATAATCGTATATTAAGTCTACTTAAAAGAACACTTGAATATATGTTAAATGAAGTGTGAAAGTTAACGTCACTTGTTTCCTTTTAGTTTCTAAAATGGGCCACTACTTTCTTTTTTTGGTTTTGCCATAGGGTACATATGCTCACTAGAGTTAGAGAGACAAAGAGAGGCAAAGCGAAAAACACCCCCTAGGGGGGTGACCGTGCTGCAGGCCCTTCTTCATTCTCCTCTTGGGCTTGGGGCATGTATGCACATGGGCCCAACATGATTTTCAAGCTGCGGGGTCCTGCACCCCAACCATAATCACCCATGTGGGAATCCAGTGCCTTCACCGCCACACCACCGCTGGCCCCAGGAGCCACTAGATGGTGAAAGTTCACACCCAGCCGCTCTGTATTTATATCATTCAGTGCTGGTGTCGAAGGTCGTCAGGCGTTTTCTTAGGAGCTGAAGATGAACTAATGTTTCTTCCTTTCACTTGTCCAACTTTTACTCCTACTTCAGGACTCTTTGGAGAACTCAAGACATTTTGGAAATGAATCATTGCTCCCACTGGAAATAGGGATAGCATCTTGGCGATACACGCGGGTAAGATAACAGAAGTCCTCACGGAGTACTAAGGGGCAACTCGCTTTCATACCTTTCTGGCCGTCTTTTCCATCACATCCTGGAAAACCTCTGTGCCCTGGAGGGCCTGGTGGGCCTGGGACACCAGGTAGCCCTGGAAGACCACAGTCACCTGGGTCCCCTCTCAGAAGGTCAATAGTCCCAGGGGGTCCTGGAGGTCCTGGTACTCCTGACCACAGGGAGGAGACAAAAACACTTGCAGTCAAAGACTAACGGGAACACCGGCTGCCTGACAGCCTCTTAAGAAAGATAATTACGTGATTTGTAAGCAAGGGATGGAGGAAATTAGACGAGTAAGAAAGTCAATAAAGTATCAGGAGCGAAACAGTGTGTCTCATGGAGCCCAGGTGAAAAACGGTGTAGATAATAGATCCAAGCAAATCTTGCCCTTTATAATCATTTCTCTTCAAAGTATCAGTTTATGTATTTATTTATTTTTTGTCGGTACTGTCATCTCACTGCTTTAATAAAACGATGGATAGATAGATGGACGAAAAGATAGGCTTTGGAGGAAATGCAATTGACGGGAAAGGAATGTTCATCCAATTAAATGTATAATCCCACTTGAAAATAAGTGTCTACACCTAAGAACCAATTGACCCCGATTCTATTCTCATTTAGCATCTGTATGTCTGAGCACATGTTGGAGTACTTTTAATTTCTTTTTCTCACGTACCATCCCACCCTTACTAAAATCGCAAAGATTCAAAGACAGCAGGCCCGTGTCTGTAGAAAAGCTCTGTGCGCTAGTATGAATGCCATTGTCTGCCTTTAGGACATTTCACTGAGACACACTCTCCCCCCAGCTCCAGTCTAACCCGACTTCCTCAGCTTAGTAATTACTTTCAAAATCTTGCCTAGCCAGGGTTCATCCCCATGAAGTGACAAGGGGAACGGCACGTCCTATTAACACACATCGAGCGTTTCGGTGCGTATGACAGGCTTGGGCTCTGTCACTCTGGACCAGCAGCAGTGGCACATGTGGTAGGTCTAAAGCTTGACAGGGTGGGTGCAATGCCCTCCTGCTAGGCACTTCTGGTGCCGTGTGATCGGCCTCGAGTTTGGCCTAGGATATACGTGCTCTAAGTCAGAGTGTCTCCACAGCGAGGTGGGCTGGGTAATAGACGCATGAGGGGCTACACTCTGGTTGGTCCTGGATATGGTCCCAAGAGCCACCATTGCCCCCACTCCAGCCCCAGCTGGCTCTCACTTCTCCAGCTGCAAATTAATGAGCTGTTGAAGTATTCCCATGCTCTACTCTGTGTCCTCTCTCCCCGCAGAAGTGGCCACATCCCTCCATGGGAGCACAGCCCCCTTTGGCCGTGATGTTCTCGTACCTCTTGGGCCAGTGGGACCAGGGAGACCCTGATCTCCAGGTGGACCTTGGTCAGGAAAGTCACCCTTTGGAGCTCTTCCTCTGGCCCCCACAGGGCCAGGTGGTCCTGGTCTCCCTGCGAATGAACACACTCAGATATTAGCCCATGACATTGGGAAGGTTTTGATTTAATTAGCGACAGGGAGGACAAAGCACACTGCTTCTTACCTGGGGGACCTGGGAGACCTTTGTCTCCAGAAAGGCCTGGAGGAGAAATTCCTGGGCTCCCAGGGTCTCCTTTCTCCCCTTTTAGCCCAGGAGCTCCCACTGGACCTGGTGGGCCCATTTCTTGTGAACCTGAGTGGGGAAAACAGCATGAGTACTGCATCTTCTCCTGGCTTCTTCCCATGGTGGCTCCCGGAAAGGAACTGCTTTCCCACAGGGGTAGAGCCGGGAAGTAGCTGGTTCCGTAGAGACCGACTGCTAGTTTGGGTGCTGAGCCAAAGGGAGTTTACTATTCCTGGGGTGCCAACCCTCTCCCACCACCCACCCCTCTGTTAGCCATAGGTTTCATGTCTTTATGATTACTTCCCAAACAGCTTAGTGACACTACCTCTCCTCCAACCTCTACAATGAATAGAATAAAAACAAATAATATCTAACAATAAGAAACTATTAAAAGACTCCTTTGAAATTTGAGGTGGAAGTAGAATTATTGTGGAGTCCCACCCTGAGCAGGAAGGACACTGATTTCCTAGGAAGGGGCGCACAGCCAGTCAGACTGTTTGGAAGAGTCACTGTGTGAATCCAAAGGGACCCAAATTGCGTGTGCATAAACTGTATGAAGATGTAATCCCTCTGCAACAATAGATTCAAACTTCCTAACACAAATCAACCTTTTTTCCCCACAGTCACTCACATCTACACGCTGGGTTCCAGCTACTATGTCTGATTACAAGTTATTTTTCTGAGAAAGTAACGTGACAAATGTGCATTATATTAATGGAGCAAGCTAAAATGCATTTGTTGAAAATTAGCCCACTTGTGATATCAAAACACAGCAAATCGTTCAGGTAATTTGCTTTAGCAGCAGCTGAGAAGCCATGCTGAAGGTACTAATTAGACCCACGTAGTCTTACAAGGCATTACTACACTTAATAAGACAAATACAAAAACTCAAATATTTATTTGTTATTTAAAACACTTTAGAATCTGGGTCCATTTAAGCAATTACTCAAAGCGTTTTTAGTAGAGAGGTAGTTCCAATCAAAACCAACAGAAGGCACTGTTAGCCAAGCATTTTCTCCTTAAATGAGTTTCCTCAAATGTCCTTTTGCTGTAAGTCATCATCAATACTGAAGGGTCGGCCGAATGGAGCTCAGTCTCTTATGAATGGTCTTATCTTACCTGAAGCACCTTTGGATCCTTTCTGACCCTTCAAACCATGTAAGCCATTCAGGCCGGGTGACCCAGAGGGACCTGAAACACGACAGAGGCCTGTGACCCGAAGGGAACGCCAGCCGAGATGACACACTGGCCACAGCTCGCAGGCCCCACCCTCATCACCTGGACGATAATGTCCGAGCAGAAATCCAGGCCAGTGAACATCACCACGCCCATTTGACGGGGGGCTCTGCTGAGACAGTTGAACACCTGCATTTCCTTGATTTTAAATATGGCTGTTGGTTTGTGGTCAGATTATGACCAGATGCAGTCTAGAATTACTGACTCTTGGCACAGGAAGTGATCTTTGATTTTATGACAAGAAAATCATTTTAGATGAGGAGAGAGACTGGAAAAGAGCAAATCCAGGCCTACCTCCTGGGCCTGGGGTCTTTCTATTCTGCCAGTTCTAATCCCTTCAGAATCTGCTTACATTAATGTATTGGGTTGTCAGAAAAACCATGATGCATTTTTGCATAGAAAAACATAGAAAATTACGACAAGAGAGAGTGAGAAGAAGAGAGAGAAATACAGGCACCAGAAGAGTCTTCACATGTGCCCCACCCCCAGCCTCAGCCAGCTGTGCTCATGGGCACACACATGCCTAACATGTACAGGGAGCCCTTGGGACATTCCCACTGGGCCCAGCATCACAGAGCGCTGGGTTACAGCTATGCCAGGCCCAAGTTTTAATTCTTTATTTTAAGATTTTAGTTTGTTTTGGTTTATTTTTCTATAGGGCTTGTGCACTCACTGGAGAGAAAGAGAGAGTGAGAAGGAAAGTGAAAAGTAAGCCCCCCATGGAGATGGCCATGCCATTATCCCTTCTCCACCATTCTCCGCATGGAATTTTGGGCACACATGCACACATGTCTGGCACGATTTTCAAATAGCTGGGTCTGGGACTCAAACCCGGGTTGGCCTTGTGGGAATGCAGTGGTTTAACTACCGTGCTAGCTGCTGGTCCAGCCCCTTTATATTTTAAGCTACTCTGAATCAATAGTCCTACAGGGCAAGCTTGGCTACAGCTATTTTTTTGAAACTACTTTTTTGGGAGCAATTCTGATGACTTTTTACAGTAAATAAATTAGGCGGTATCCCACCAATGGCTGAACCTTTGTGCATAATGTTCCTTCAGACATCAGCGTGGTTCTCTACAGAGACATCTACCAGCCTGGCTTGCCTTTGTGCATAAAATTCCTTCAGACATCAGTGTCGTTCTCTACAGAGACATCTACCAGCCTGGCTTTACTTACGTTGTCACAGAAAACTTACAGCAGAAATTTTTTTTCTTACGGTTTTCCATCAATAAACTTTCAGTTGTGTTTAATTCTTCCAATGAGAGTTTCCTAATTGCTCAGTATAGAGTTGGAGGGGAAAGGAGGAGGGAGGGTAGGAAAGGAGGGGGAGAAAGAGGGACGGAGGCAGGGAGGGCACAATGACAGAGCACCTCCTGCGTGCTGAGCCCTCAGCCAGGTCCCTCTGCACTCTGTCCCACCAACGGCATGGGGATGAAGCTTCTCAGCCCTGGGATGAGCTGGGCAGCCTCCTCACTTCACCGGTAGATCTCTTACCTGGCGGCCTTCTCTCCTCACTGAGGGATCTCCCACTTGGCAGCTCTTTTTTGTCACTCAAGGCTTGGTGCACAGGCAGCCAGCCACTCAATTTAGGATCATAATAACACACTTGGCTTATACGACTGAACACACAGACAGTGCCCCTCACCTCCCCCCAGGATACCTACGTGGGGCTCCCTGATGGCTTATGCCCATCCCACACTATACCACGCCATGTTCTGGGGTGATGCGCAGACCAGAGTGCCAGACAAGGTGCTCTTTGTCTATCTCCCCCTTGAGAATATTTCCTGCTACATAGTAGGCCTTCAGTAAATATTCACTGGAGTGAATGAGTACATTTAAAAATGTGGAATAAAAAGATGAGGGGCCCAGCCTCTACGGAGGACCTACTGGGCAGCCTGTAGCATCCCAGACTTCAGAGCTGGAAGCCACATGTCACTGACCATGGTCTGGGGCTCCATCCTAGTCGGCCTGAAAACACACCAGGCTCGTGCATAGGTGCTTGCCCGGGATCCTGGTGGGCTGGAGAATGGGAAGAAAGGAATCACAGCATGACCAAGCCCAGAAGGTGCTTTTCTCTCTCTTTTGCTCACAAGTGCATATAAGCTCTATCTTACAATACCAAAAAAAGAGAGAGAGGAAAGAAGAAGGTAAGGTATTGAACGGGTGGAGAGAAAGCTTTAAAAAGGAGTGGACTACATTTTCGACCTGCATGCCACATCCTTCTTTGATAGATTTATAGGACAAATGTGATTTAGAGAAGTTAGAGGTACCTATTTGTAGATAAGTAATTGAAGTGATTATTACTTTTCAGCCTTTTCTTCCTGAATTATTTCATTTTATTTATTATTATTGTTATTATTTAATTTGCTATAAGGAACCCACTCTCACTAGAGAGAGAGGGAGAGAGAGGAAAAGTGAGAAAGCAAGCCACCAGGTCTGGGACTCAAACTGCAGTTAGCTGCTTGGGAGTCCAGTGCCTTAACCGCCATGCCACTTGTTGGCCTCTCAAGTGTTAATTATTGTCTATTTTGTTAAAGCAAGTCCTCTTTAGAAGATGGCACAGTTAGCTGGTTCCATTCCATTTATCATCAGTTCTTACAACAGATGATGATTATTCTCCTCTTAGGATTTAACCTTCAGACTGGTTCAAATAAGCTGTTTTTCATGCACCCTCCTCTCCTCAAAAATGGGAATGCATCCTTATTGTCTCTAAATCTGTGATTTCCTAACTACTTCGAACAATCCTGGCTTAGACTACTTTCCAATTCTCTTCCCTATTTTATGAGCTAATATTTCAAGTTTGCACCAAAAGAACACACAGACTTTCTTCATCTGCCAAACTGGATATTTACTGCCGTCTATCTGAAATGACAGATTTTTATAGGCCACTTTGCAGTTTCCATGTGTTTCCATCTTCAGCTCTTAGCCACCAAGATTGATGGCTGGGACACTTGGCTGGGGGTGGAATGTCCCAGCTCTTTCATTGTCACATCAACACACCCAGATCCCGGTTGCCAGGTCCCAGCCCCTTGCCATTGTTGAACTGGCCGACCCTTCTCTGACCCAACGTTAGCTTTCTAAATTGAATGCAGCTACATCTGGGTAGGGTTTTAAGGGTAATTTTTCCTTTTTACTGAAAGCTTTTTATCAGTCCCATCTCTAAATCAGAAAGTTGTTCATGCATAAAATATATACAGTGCAGCTGGGAGGCAATTAGGCTAACAAAGCACTTTCCTGGGTAATGAGGAATTTCATTCACCTCTCTGGTCCCGCCCTGCTGAGCCACCTTCATTTACGGCTGCATCACGCTGCACTCATAGCCGCATGCTCTCCCCTTGGTCAGCGGCTTGCACCTCCACTCTGGCCTTAACTGTGGCTCCTGTCTGTGTGAGTGAGCCGACTCTCCAGTACTGGATTCGATGCTACTCTACCCAGAAGCTTTACATAGGTTTTTACTTTTTAAAAAAGGTTATTTACTCATGTCTTCCATAAACAAGAGACAGAGAGAGACAGTGAGACAGAGAAATAGGAACCCCTCACAGGGTCCTGAAGGCATGGTCCACCCCAGCCTTAGCCAGCCCAGGATCAGGGGCACACCCATGCCTAGTATACTCAGGGAGGTCTCCATACTCGAAATGGGAACCCTCCACGTGGGTCAGCTTCACAAAATGTTGGTGCTTCACCACCGTTCCACTGTCTACCCTGGTTTATGTTTTTTATTTTATTTGTTTATTTATTTATTTTTAGAGAGTTTTTGCTATAGGGTGCATATGCTTGCTGCAGAGACAGAGAAAGACAGGAAGCAAGAAATCATCCCCCAGGGGGATGGCCATGTCACAACCCCTTCTCCTCCATTCTCCTATTGGGATCTTGGGCATCCATGCACACGTGTCTGGCATGACTTTAAGCCACTGGGTCCAGGACTCAAACCACAGTCAACTATGTGAGAGTTCAGCAATGCAACCGTTATGCTATCTGCTGGTCCCTCTGTTTTTTAAAGGGTGGCTAATATGTCATCATTTGCCCAGGACTTTCCTGATTTGGTCACCAAAACTCAAGTCTTGAGTCGTATCCTCTCAGGCCCAGGCAAAGATGGGACAGCTGGTCACCCTAACTTTAAAGCCAGTGGTTGAAAAAAAGACCTTTGTAACGATGGGAAATGGTTGAAAAACAATAACAAACATAAAACCTGAAGACTCATCAAAAAAGATTCTGGGGCTGGCAGGTGGTATGGTGGTTGAAGACCCTGGACTCCTACATGACTGACTGCAGTTCAAGTCCCAGGCCTGGTAGCTTGCTTTCTCACTTTCTCTCTCTCTCTCTTTTCTCTCTGGTCAAATTAAAAAATAAGTAAATAAATAAAGTTAAATAAAATAATTCTTTAAAAAAAGATTCTGAAATCAGATTTAATTATTATTATTATTTTTTAATTCATCAGATACATGAACACCTACCAAGGGCATAAGATATGGTTTCCTAATGCAGAGAGCTTCCACTCCCAGATGCACACTGCAACAGACGCTGGCTAGACAACGGGAGCAGGCGAGAAGCAACCTCTGATCTGACAGAACCAAGAGGCAATTCCCTGGATTGTGGCGAGTACTGCGGGCTGGAGGGCGCAACCTCGTTGTGAAAAGGAGGGCGAACATTTTCATGATTTACGTAGCTATAAAGTGCATGGCTATTTTTGTTTGCTTGTTTTCTGATAAAAGACATTTAGAGGTACTTTTTTTT